AGCGCGTCTGACAGCTGATTTTGCTCGTACAACTGCAGCAAATTCCCGTTGACTCGCCTGCCTGATAGCCTCGAGGTTCTCTTTGGATGCTGGTCCAGACTTTGTAGGACAAGCTAGACAGTCACGACTGTCCGATCGGTGGGGGCCCCCACAGTTGCGGCACTTTGTATGTGCCTTACACTCTGCGGAGGAATGCATCGTTGACGTGCAGTTCCAGCAAGCTGGGGCACGTGAGCAGCCTCGAGTGCCGTGGAATTGCAGGCATCTTTTGCACTGGCTTATTGCCTGTTTAGGCTGGTGACGAACTGCAATTCCAGAGTCGTCAAAAAGTCGGAAGCCCGGCCGAGGGGCAGACGCTCTCTCGAAGTGAGCTATCCAAGTTTGGTATGGAGCTCCTACTCGCCCCTTTCCGAGTGGACGGACACGTACAGGAACCGCCTTGGTGGTTCGAGTTATTTCTTCTGCCACCATCTCCTCAGTGACTGTAACCTTGCCCATAAGTGTGTATAGGGCCACTGGAACCGTTGCGATTCGAAGGGCAGCCAGATCCGAGGCTGTCTCCAACTTAGCCTCAACCCTGCTGAATGATTCTGCAGCGTTTAAGAGGAGCTGGCGTGCTTCTTCATTTTTGGCTTTCATAGCGAAGCCGGTGGGAACACGATACACATGTTCAATATTGGAGGATGGAACCTCCACCAATTTAGTCACGGCATCTCTCACGCCAGCTGGAGAAAGAGCGCGCCATGCATGCTCCTCTCCGAGGCGAAGAAACAGACGAACATCTTTTGGCTTTGCAGTCACAGGTCTAGCTTGTTTCTTGACCTGTACTGCTGGGTTTGGGGCGACTCGAACAGTCTTCGCTGGAGCGATTGACTTTTGGGGAGAGCCCCGGGCGACTGTTGCCCAGGTCGATTTGGCCTGGGTGACTTGGCGTTGTAGCTCCTGACTGTTCATCGGAGTTCTTTCTTTGGCCTTGGTTATAGGACAACTCATGTTTTCCTGGCAGCTTGGGCGCTGTGGAAGGATTGGGGGGGCCGCACTGGGTCCCGACTTCATGAATTGAGCAATGGCTGCTCGAAGATATATTTTCATCGAGTCGATGAACAGATCGCTCGACTCTTCTGAGTATAGGGAGACCGCGGTCTCGACAGCATTGATAGCAGCAGTGCAGATCATTATATTTTTTGCTGCTTGAGCTGCCCTGCGCTCTTCAGCTTCAATCATGGCTTGTAGTTCCGGGGGGCAGCCATTGATTTTTTGTTTCCTGATTTTGCTGCAGGAAGGTTGTTGTTTTTCAGTCGCCACTGATGAGGGTTTGCTGGCGATCTGAGCAGGTGTGGCTTGATTAGCCTTATTCACCTCTGGAATTGCTGCCTTCTTGACAGCAGGAGCAGCAATCTTCTTTGATGTTGAAATAACGGAGGTCACAGGGACCACATCATCATTTTTCTGAGCGACATTCCATCTGGATTTGTCGAGACCCTCGATTATGTATTGGTCGATGACCATATCGCCCATTTCCACGTCTGGGTTTGTTGAGTCTGAGTCTTCCTGGAAGACTCTCAATCTTTCGGTCATCTCTGACTCCATCTTGTCTTGATCTATCGTATCGATCGATAGATTTCTTGCATCTAGGCGGTGTTGCAACCTGATTTTAATTTTCGCCATGGCTTTGTGCTGGCGCGCGGGGCGAGTGATTTTCGTAGGACCCGTCGCCATTTCGGAGACTCAGGGTCTTGCGACTATGATAATGATGAAATTAGCTTGTGAAACTATGAATTGAAGGGTTGAGGGGATGGGTAGGTGAATTTTTCATCGATTTCAAAAAAAATTGTGTAATGCATGTGTGGGTATACTGGACCAAACTAGAACTCGATGGAATAGAGATAATGGAATCAGCGAGAGACTGATAGACTGAGAGAGAACGAGCTGGTCATTGCTCGTAGGAGAGAAATGATATCATAAGGGAACGTTCTAGCACTAGGCTGTGAACAACACAGTAAGTCTGGAGCAAGATATAAGGAGGTCTCAACCTCCTTATATTAGTTGATACTCAGTTACCTTTGTGCGAGTACATAGAATCAAGTCTTACATATCACGAGAACACACGCGACAGCGACTATAGAGACCTACTGTGAGCATAACTTCCCCAAGAGTAACCGTCGTCCTGCTCCCACATAGCCTAGTTAATATAACCAAGCTCATATGGTTAGGAGCCTACTAGCGGCCGCACAAGAGCATAAGTAGGTAGTGCTCGGTACACAATTAGTATAGCATAACTAAAGTATAGTGAACCTCAGATACACCTTCAACCACATCCTAGGGCCGCTCAGTGTGGCACGAGGATGGAGGTATAGTGCAGGGCGCTAGCACCTCAGAAATGGTGTTTTTTCTTTTTATTTGTTTTGTTTCTGTATTTCTGGCTCCTATGAACCAATCATGTAGGTAGCGAAGAGTCTTATATAGATCTGGACTACCCGTGCCATGCTCCCCTGGGTGCTGGGTCAGTACCCGGTCAGGATAAAAATATCATTATCATCATTCAACCACAACCTGAAACTCATCAATCTATGTATACGTACAAGGTCAGTTTGCATAGTGATACTAACCTAAGCTCATAACTACAATAAGACCACAGTCGTCTCTTTTTAGCACGTGAGGACAGGGAAAGGATAACGATGAAAAATAAAATTTTAGATAGTCCTATCTCGGACTCAAGGGCAATCGCACTTCCAATGGGTACCAAAGGACTGTAGACAAAAATAAAATTTAATAGGGGGAGGGTGTTTAGATCGTAATGGTTTCCCCCTCATGTAAATAGATCGAAAGATTCATAGCTGCCTGAATGGGCCCACAGGGCGCCAATTCTGTTTGAATAAATTCAAATTCGAGTTCAACCCAGCTTGAAGTTATCCCTTTTTATCCCAGAGGGTGTCAAGGGACGGTACGCCAGCTTTTCGCAAACATATGTCGAAAATTATATTTATTTTCTCCCTAAAGGGAAAATATCTATATGGGATTTACCAGAGTATAGAGACTACGCGTCGCGTCGCATCCTGGACTTTACATAAGCAATTACGTGATCCTAACTAAATTAGGAATGACGCCTGTTGGGAGCCAGATAAACTCCGGTTCCAGGTAAATGAGGCAGCAGCCTGTAACAGAGGGACTGTATTGTGTTCTGACAGCCAGAGCTGCCACTACTATGTCCCTGTCCACTGTACTAATGCCATTACAAGATGCGGAGATCAAATAGCTCCCATAACAGTGTTGTTACGTTCAGCGTTACGGGCTTGTCTGATTTTTGGTTTGTGTTTATAGAGACTATGAGTGGTTGGAAGGTGCGGTGGTATATCGCCTTGGCCGGTCGGCCAAGTAGAGTCTAGATAGCTTAGGCACATATCCCATTCGAGATAGGAGACCGCTGGTTCGGAACCGGCTAGACACAACCACTTTTCTCGAAGCGCTGGTATAATGAATGTGGAAGACGTGCTTGGATAATCGAAGATTTTGAAATGTCCCGTTGGTTGGTACTCACCAAGATGGGTCGATTGTTTGTGTAAGCAAACATACATCATAGTGGTAGTTGCATATCAAATTTAAAGTATGAATGTCCCCATATTCAAAGAGTCATTGAGCATGTCCACATCACACCGATCATGTGTCATAGCTAGTAACTGAATATCAAAAAATTACTTAAAAAATGTTGGAAAGTGTGTATGGGTTCTAAGAGGAAACTCACTCAAAGAATATAGGCACAGCTTCAAAGTACTTCGTAGTAGTTCAATCAAATAAATTATTCACGTACATCGTTCTTATTATATTATTTTATTCGTCAGAATGTTTTTAAAGATGTACATCTAGGTTTCTACATATTACTCGTGTTCTTTGTCTGACGCTAAAACCAATTTCAGTCTAGTGCAATTGTGCGCCAAGTTATTCCTAAGCAGCCTTGCCGATCATCACCGACAATTGTGTAGCTCTAGAGTAAGCAACTGGTGCGAAATTCCAACAAAAAATATCGATGAATATATAAGGACATGTAGGCCCTTTCTGCCTACAAGTCGGGAGTATCTATGCCTCGGGTAGCTTACTCCGTCCTATGCATCTTTCACGACTTCTTTCTAGCAGTTCTCAAAAACCACTGAATGCGGGGCTCTCCTATTATGATGATGGCGGCCAGTTGGGCGCAACAGACCTGTGCATACCTAAGAGCATCTCTCAACCTTCCTTTCCTCCTCCTTATTCCTCTCCTGATTCTTACCGCGGGATAAATCGAAGATCATGAAAGGTTGTCAGAAAAGTCTTGATCGAGAGTGATTGTCTTGAAGGAACCTGGCCTAGCATCCAATAGTCGTTACGGAAATGGGGTCATCGGGTAGCGGATGTATTTCAAATGCCCTCTTGACTAATAGATTCGGCAGTATAGATTAGAAGGGACGATATTTTTAACGAGTCGAAATCTGCTTTTCTTGAGGGCGGATGAGTCTTTTATTTTGCTTTCGTGGGCTTTTTGTTCGCCCACCAGTGGGTAGCACATGTTATAACATAACGATGGCTTCTCTGACTAACGTTGTAGCATTTAGTACCGTATTATCTTTCCTCATTCCCAGCAACATTATCGTCATCTTGGTCGTCTTATGAGTTTCGGAAGCTTATCTTTGACGGAGGGGGAGATAATCCAGCTCAAAGTTAAGGAGGCGATATTTATGCTCTGCTCTGCATACTCTGCTGTTATACAGTTGTGGGGGAGGACAGTGAGAAGTGCTGAGTTTCGTTCCCCTTGGCCTGAAGAGTCAACGGTAAATACTGTAGGTTTAATGAGACGCAGATGACAGGTGTCCAGTTTTATCCATTATCGGCTAGTCTTGTTCTCTGGCGACAGATCCGCAGCCTTGTCTTGGCACTGTTTAGATCCAACATGCGCCACTTGACGATTATTTGGATAAGCTGTATCAAGTGACGATGTATACCAAAATCCATATGCAATTTTATAATTAATGGCTTTGCTTAACAGCCCTAGCGACGCCATTCAATCAACTCAAATAATGCCTAAATGGGTAAGAAAGTGTGAGCGTTATTGCTGTTTAGGGGTCACATACTTCCCTTTATTTTTTGTCTACAGTCTAACGACGTGGGCGGTTTGGGTTGAAACAACAATCGGATTTTTATTCCCAAATTATGGTTGGGCCGGTAGGTTTGAACTTGGATTTTTTGGGGGCAAAAGGGCTCACGATACCGTCTGTCTAGCATCGTTTCTCGGGATTTTTCTCTTTGTAATGCTCAATTGGTCTTACACTACAGCAGTGTTTACAAGTCCAGGAACGACTACAATTAGCAATGGGTATCAATCGCTTCCGACCCAAGTACACCCTGTAGCAACGAACTTCACAGTGAAGGCTAACGGGGAGCTGAGATACTGCAAGAAGTGCCAAGCACGAAAGCCGGACCGCGCACACCATTGCTCGACCTGTCGCACTTGTATACTGAAGATGGATCACCATTGTCCATGGCTAGCTACTTGCGTTGGGCTACGGAATTACAAAGCCTTTCTTCTTTTTCTTATTTACACCTCCCTCTTTTGCTTCGTTTGTTTTGGCGTCTCAGGATATCGGGTCTGGAAAGAAATATCTGGCGATGGAGAATTCACCGAATCTTTAATGCCTATCAATTATGTAATGCTAGTTGTTATTTCGGGAATAATTGGCCTACTGTTGGCTGGCTTCACAGGATGGCATATGCTCCTCGCTTCAAGGAACCAGACTACAATTGAATGTTTGGAAAAAACGAGATATCTCTCTTCCATGCGAGGATCAGGTCAATTACTTACTGCAGAACATCGACACGATATGGAGTATTCATCTCAATTCCAGGCTGGAACAAATGGAAACAATCAGATCTGTAATGGACCCGACCGTCCAAGAATGCAACACAACGTATCAACAAACTATAATGAATACGAACGAGCTCAATCACAGCTACGGTATGAAGAATACCTAGATGAGCAAGATTCAGCGAAACTTCCAAATGCATTTGATCTTGGATGGAGAATGAACCTACTCCATCTGTTTGGACCTAGAAAAATACTCTGGTTTCTCCCAGTCGTTACAACACATGGAGACGGGTGGAGCTGGGAGCCGAATCCCCAGTGGTTACAAGTTCGTGAGAAGATAGCCCAGGAAAGAGATGAACAAAGACAGAGGGAATACAATGCGGGCTGGGGGGTAGAGCCCTTAAATCCAAATGTAACATCATCTTATGGGGAATCTAAGCATGCCCTCGCAGGATCAAGTCCCATAACTGGAAGATTTACCGGCCCTTACAAGGTGCATATTTCTAAGGCCGATAGGATACTAGGTCGTACAGGTGGCTATACAGACGAGGTTTCAATGGATAACTTGCGCCCTATTGGCTCGAGGGAACAGTCTCAAGCGGAAGATAACTACAACGTGGCCGAGACCAGTCCATCAGAGCGAAGATTTTCTATGGGACTGCCTCAGAAGGTCGGCTTTGTTCCAAACAAATTATTAGCCAATACCATGGCGAGAAAAAAAGATGATTGTAGATTTGAAGGACATGATGAAGAAGTCGACTGACTTAAAACTAATTCATATGCGGGTTAAAATATTACTGGATCAAGGTATCAACCTCATTTGATTAAAATATGTAGCAGGATATTTCTTCGAAAAAAATCAGACTTAAGGAACATAAATGTGTGGATAATCTTGTCAGCGTCACGCTTTGCTATGTCTCCAATCTGAAACCCCATCACCTTTTAGAACACCAAATATCACGACTTAAGCACACTCTAACTCTTACATATATTCTCTCCCGAAGCAAAAAACGGGCCTTTAGTGTTTAGACTCGGCAGAAGAGCAAATAATTTGAGTTAATGGCAAGTGACCTTATTGGATGGACTCAGAGTGATGAAGGATCTAATCGCTGATCTAGAAGAAAAGATAGTGAATTAAGGAGTCTCGGATTTCTAGTTTTTTGTTTTAAGTACTAATCAAGTATTTTCTTTTGCCCTCACAAAGACTCAGACGTAGGTAGATTCGAAATAGATTCGTTTAACTACCATCAACAATATGGGACCTATCTTATTATAATGACTGGAATCTTTCTTTGCTTCATATAAGTAATAGAGTTTCAAGATTCTAGTAGCCTAGGATACGAAGCCAAAACAAATTTCTTCCACACATACGTGCGCTGCTATCTCCCTTTATAAAGATTTATATCTTGGTTGTCATACGTCAGAGCTTTCATCGTAATTTATCTTCCGTCATTTAGCTCCCATGAACATCGCAAAAACATTCATACACAGCTCTATAAGATGAATCGTGCCACGTATAGATGCGGGTCTTTGCAGATTCTATTACCTTAAAAAACTACCTCAATAGGTGGCATTCCTGTGGACCGATTAGTGTGTCCAAGGCTGGCGGCCTCCGTTCCGCTCACTAGTTACCGTATAGGCTATGGTACTCGGGAATCAGTCGTCGACTAAACGCATATTCCCTCCTGTATTTAGTGTTGTGGAGTATTCTCATTTACTTGGATGAAAAGGGACACCATAGATTATGCATACCCAGTCTGGCACCAATAAGACTGCCGTACACTGCCACTGAAAGCCGAGATCAAGTGTTCACTCGTTCTATCTAGCTTTCAGAATAAAATTAGCACCTAAGGTTAGTCATTTTTCACCATCTGTTGTTAGTTATCTCGCGAGACTTCTGGCTCTGTATTTTCTCAAGGATAAGTGCCATCAATCCCGTAGTCTTTGGCTCATCATGGCCCATCTCAAGCCCTCTTGACCGTATATTTGTAGCATGAAATACCTGGTGACTAGTTACACTGAGGTCCTTCAATTGCGTGGCTACCTAGGCGGCCATCTTTCGAAGATTAGGGACTTACAAAACCAAAGATAGTGTCTTTCACATTTCGAATGTTTCTCTCGCTATTGATTTTTGTTGAGGAAAAAAATATCTAGGTAAGCCTATCGATTTCTGATGGTCACTCTCCCCACTGTACAAATAGTTAGTTTTGCTTCATGTCCTATGATTCACTCGATGGAGATTTATGAGACACTATTTCACGTTAAAAGTTTAACTAGAGATCACAACGACTATCGGCGAGGTATATGTACTGCACAAGTATAACATACGACCTAACTCGCTCAACTAACATGAGGACCTTCAAATATTACACTCTGACAAAATCTGTATAGATGACTATGGTAATTCAGATAGATTAAATTAAGATGATTAGAATCTGTAAGTCGAACATTTGATATAGTTGCGAGAGCAGTTAAATTTATATCAGGTTTGATAACTGTCATAGGATTGAGACTAAGATGTTTTCTCAGAGAGAAAGAAAAAATATCACCGATTACTCCTCTCCATCATCTCACTCCTATTTAAGTACAGGTTCGCTCGTCCTTGTTCAGTCAGGTCCCCATAGTCCAGACTACGTAGTATCACTATTCCGTCGTATAAATAGACTGTGATCATCTAATTTTAAACAACATAAAAACATGATGACCGCTCATAATACAAACAGTAGGATGCAGGCGCAACCGATTACAGTACAAATTCTAGATGATGACATGATTGCGAATATAGAATGAATAATTGCAGGAAGATATCAACAGATACAATGGGTAACACAGGGTTGATTGCGTGTGATTCCTCATCAGCCTTACTCAGACTCACATACAGATATTTCTGAGCTCCATACTGAAAGGCGCGTGAATCGCAAGAATTAACACCTGTTAGCGGCGTCCTCTACGAACCTGGGGGTGAGATATTCTCCCAGAGCCGAGATTCAGTCACGAAAAAGGGTGGCATGAATTTTTTTGACGGATTGTCGGCTTGAAAGAGCTTTACTCGGTATTTTGGTCGAAAAATCAGTCGCCAGAGATTTCACAGCCGCAAGAAAGTCGAATAAAAACTTATCACTACCAACGTACAATTCACGAATGGGCCTTGGTCTGTTTGGGTGTAGTATTCAAACAAATTACATTTCTTAAACTCCTTGTATAGTTGCGCGATCCATTACAGTCGATCCCACACCTGCGACCCACATTTATACTCGTCACATCACCTACCTACACACGCCCTAATGAGGAAAGTCATGATGGAAACGGGACGTGTTCAAAGGAGGAAGAAGATGGAAGATACACCGAGGGGATTACACAAATCCCCAATGACGAAAACAACCCAACGGAACGATATGAAGGTGCAAGGCTAGAGCAACGATGAGATCTTGGACGGCATTTATATTTCGGAGTCAATGAGGATGTCAAGGGCTTGGGCGCGTGATGGTCGAGGCTGAGGAGGAATTTGCGCTTCGGAGTGTATTCAGCGGGTTTCTGGACGGTCAGGCTTGGTATGATTCAACACATAGGAGAAGTCTGAGGTGGTCTGGTCATATAGATGGAGCAAGGCTTATCTGTACTTCATGGTAGTTAACCTGATCCGGCCCGGCTTCACTCGTGCTTAAGTTCTAGTTGGAATGCGATGGGTGATATGTAGCTAGCATTTAAATGAACAGAACAGAAGAGCGTGGCTGGCAAAGATGAATTTTTCACTTTCCAGTGGTGCCGGTGTAATCGCTGAGTATGCTCTGCATATCTGGGATAGCCAAGAAGAATCGCATCCAAATCGACGACTTCTTGTCAATGTCGGATCTATCATCTCACGCGAGTCCTCCACCTCAAATACCGATAATGGCATTACTCCAATTGCAATCGGGCATTTGCCTCATCAAAAATCGGCCATCTCCCACTAAAAATTTACGATGCTATGTATACCCGCGAGGAGGAATTCAAGTCAAAATCTACAAAGCTCGGGTCTTGGTTTAGCGGGGGCCGTTGCTCTAATTGGGCTTCACATCTTGAGAGAGGACAGGCAGCTGGGCAGTGGGACGAACGAGTGAGGAGGTCACAAATGTGCATGTTGGGACGCACATTTTTCGAGTATTTTTGACTTAAGGATTTCTGTGGGCGACGAGGCAATGATTTAGGATAGTGCTACCGACACTCTAAAAACAGGCAACGATGGAAGGTGTTTTGGTCCGCATCCTGGTCGTCATCTCCCCGAATTAAAGTGTGGGTAGCCTGGACACCTAACCCTCTCGAGTGGTATCAGCGAATGCACCCACTACATGAGTAGTCCAAATGTCAAACTGAGTTATTGTTGTATACAGTTATCGGGGACGCTAGTCTTCTCCGTGTCATGCTCTTTAAATGCAGGGCTTGTGCCCGCCCCAAAAAACTTTCATTCATTCATTCTTCTAGCGTCGGGAATAGTCCTTTCTTCTTTTTGAGGGTGGCAGATTCGTGGCATAGTGAATGACTAATTGGTCCCCTAGAAATGCCAGGTTGCGTAGCAATTTGCGTCTGATTTTTGCCAGCTTCATGTAGCCTATGAATCTGAAAATTTTCTTAAGTTTTATTCATTAACGTGCTAGGTAACATGACTACCGTTGCACTCCTATTGGAGTTTAAGCAAGTGTGGGGTTGGGCTGGATCAGGTTAACTACCGCGAAGTACAAATAAACCTCGTCCCACTTTAATGACCGGACCACCTCAGACTTCACCCATGTGTTGAATCATACCAAGCCTAACGGTCCAGAAACCCGCTGTATACACGCCGTAGCGCGATTTCCTCCTCAGCCTCGGCCACCACGCGCCCGAGCCCTTGACATCCTCATTGACTCCGAAATATAAATGCCGTCCAAGATCTCATCGTTGCTCTAGCCTTGCACCTTCATATCGTTCCGTTGGGTTGTTTTCGTCATTGGGGATTTGTGTAATCCCCTCGGTGTATCTTCCCTCTTCTTCCTCCTTTGAACACGTCCCGTTTCCATCATGACTTTTATCATTAGGGCGTGTGTAGGTAGGTGATGTGACGAGTATGGAGGTGGGTCGCAGGTGTAGGATCGACTGAGAAATGCTTCGTCGCAAGTATAAAAGGGGTTTAAGAGATGTCGGATGTTTGAATACGACCCCCAGATAGACCTAGGCCCATTCGTGAATCGTATGTTGGTGGTGATTACTTTTTGTTCGACGTTGTTCCGGCTGTGAAATCTCTGCCGACTGATTTTTCGACCAAAATATCGAGTGCAACTCCTTCAAGTCGAAAATACATCAATTAAAATTCATCCCACCCTTTTTCGTGACTGAATCTCGGCTCTGGGAGAATATTTCACTCCAAGGTTCGTAGAGGACACCACTGACAGGTGTTCAGCCTTCGTCCTCCAGAAATTTTCTTAAGTGTTAATTCGTCAGTATTTTATTCTTCGATTTAGTGAAATATTTTGATCTCTGGATAATTGTTTGAATCGAGGTGTTGAAAATGGGGTTTGAGGTAGATTCATCTGCAAAGCAAAGTTAGTAACGAGTATAGCCATGTCTCTACTGGATAAATAATAACATTTTTGAGGAATCTAATTCTTTTTATTAGTCAAGCACAAGATATAAAGAGCGGTATGATATTTGAGCGGTAGGCGGATAGAGAAGTGGTGGAGAATAACTTTGAAGTTGTGAGGCAAGGTTAGACCTATTTGAATCTCTCTGAATTGATTGAATTGATTGTCCTCCACCATGGGGAATCTTTCTAGGTACTGTTTACATCTTGAGAGTATTCTACTAATTCCACACATAGACTTACTACTAGATTATCTATGCGAACTGCTCGAAACTCCGCTCCACACACACGGTTCTGAAGTTGGCTGTGACATTATCATAGGCAATAGAGGGAATGAAACAATAAGGGAGTTATGCTTAAGAAATTGGCCATCCGTCTAGTCGCTTATTGTAACATTTACATGACTAAATTATTGCCCTGGTTGCATCAGCCTCAGTTTTTTGCATCAGATTTTAGTTGTGTATGCAGCTATCTAGCTATGGCATAATATCAAAGAAAAGTACATGATGGATGACCCAGTGTAAGGGAAGAGCACTCATGCCTCGGATTTCATTTGCAAGGCGGTCCACGAAACCTTCCATCCTTGACTTGTGTTTATAGTGTCAGCTGCACTCTTGCAAGCGAAGTCTTGGCGCACACAAAGCTCAATTCGTAAAACTCCTTCCCAAAATTCGAAATCTCATGCCCTTCGAGGTTATATTCCTCCTTTGCGTCATCTTTTCAACTTGTCCTGATCCCTCTCACGTCAATCCCAAGTATTGTCTCCCAGATTTATGCGCCACGCTTTACTTCCTCCTGCGGATAGAAATGTCGGCGTGGGAGTGTATTTGGCGACCAGCTGAGGCCAGAGAAAGTCGACGAGAGGTGTGGTCATTGGAATGAGGATGTACTATGTCGTACTTGTAGAATTGATGAAGCTTAGCTGAGAATCGGACCCTTTGGGAGTGAAATATTGACATGGTGGAGTAATCTGAATTTTTGCCTCGTGGGCCAACTTCTTTGATATTGCGAAATTTGACTGAACTTGGCTCTGGGAGAATATTTCACTCCCAGGTTCGTAGAGGACACCGCGTACAGGTGTTCAGTCTTGCCCTCCGGTGCATCAGCCTCGTATATTCGCTTGTAAACTGCTGAACTTCAACTTCAAAATCGTGATACTTTATTTAAATTTAGGTTAATCTGTTTGAGAGAAGTAAGTGGGGTATTATTGCAAAAAAACTGATGGTGACAAGTAATCAAGATGTGCCCTCTATTCTGTACCTTTCTTTGATATTGTGTCATAGCTAGATAGCTGCATACGCAATTAAAATCTGATGCTAAAAAAAAAAAAGTTGTGCCCTCAGTTTAGGCCTTGTAATTGAGGACAGGAATTATGTACCCTTTGGAAATAGGCGCTAACAGGGGTATCTCCCCTGAAGCGAATGTGCGCCTTATTTAGATCCACTGCAAACTTGAAATCGCGGCAATTGGGCACAGAATCCCAATCTGATCTAAAGGTGGAGATGCAGGGATGAGGCACGACGGATGCTGAACGTAGTGGAAAAATTGGATAATGGAAGGTTACAAGGGCTCGCGCGCGTGGTGGCGGAGTCTAAGGAGGAAATTGCACTTCGGCCTGTCGAGGTCGGTTGGACTCGACATGTTGAATACATCAGTCATGCCTGAGGCGGCCCGGTCATTCAGGTGGAGCGAGGTCCATCGTACTTGTATAGTAGTCAACCTGGTCTAGCCCCACCCTTGTCGTGTACAAGCCCCCATAGAAGTACGGAAGATGCCTATTGCCTAGCACGTTAACATTCAAGTCAAATCACACCTGAAAGTCGTGGATATACACAACGAGGACAATGAAGTTGGATTGTTTTTTGCTTTTTTGATAATCCAAGTCGTCCTATTTATTCTTTAGAAAGTAATGAATCATGATATTCAAGGGAAGTTCTTATATCATTGTATGATGGGGTGGAAGACAAGGGAATCAGCACAGTGGGAAAAGTTGAGAAAGAATTAGAAAAAGAATAATCATCCTAAATATACACAAATAGGTATATACGGGTCACAGAGTACAACTTTTCTCCACGCCATCGATCTGACTGAGTAGCGTCATTCACACGACTCACGAGCTTACCTCTGGCTGGCTCGGCCCGCCCTTGCACCAAAGAGACACGCCTCGTCATTCAGAACATAAATCTTCTCAGGGATATGTAGACTGGCGAATTTCTTCAGAGAACAGCTGTCAACTGCGTGAGATCAGTGACGAGAATTTGGCGATGTAAAGCCTGGCGGTGCAACAGGTTGGGGGAGCCCTGTGTGTAAAATGGTAGTGGGTAACTTTTTCTCTATCCGAATACACTTTATCTCGTTCATGGTGAAGCGCGGCCAGCGGATGATGCCCAAAAACGAACAAAATTGTCCATTTGAACATCGAGCAACAACAAAATATCGATCTACGACAGTCAGTATTCGTGTATTTTTCAAGATACACCAAAAGTAACACGCAAGATTTGCTTACTCAAGGGCTTCTTATGGAATATATTAAATCTTATAGCTTTTTTGAGCAATATTTCGTCATTTTCAGGAGAAGGAAAATAAGTTCCACGATACTTTAAATATTCCACACCAATCTTATAGCATTTATTCAAGAGATTTGGTTTTTTGTTGCATGATGGCGATGATTTTTTATAGACGCGTTCCATCCGCTTAACAGCCGTGTCGATTTGAGATGGTTTTACTCTCAACCTAACTCCACAGTTGTACGTCTGTATCCTGGCTTCTTTGTGTTTGGCAAATACTTGGGTTGAGAGAAAGGCCATAAGAACGATCACGAATGTGAGCTGCATGATGATCGGAATAGAGCCAACGTCTTGTGACAAAGTCGCTGTACTCCTAACAATGCCTTGAATACCAACATTACTTATATGGAATATTGTCATCAACTGCCGGGCATTGTTGACCTGAAATTTCGGTTTGCAAGGATATAAACCTCACGATTCAGTCAACCTAGTCTAGCTCGTCTTGTCCACTCCTTCGTCTGAGATAAAAGTAGGTTGATAATTTCGGGCCTAGTTCATCACTTGCTGCACATCTTTTGTCTCATATCAGCCCTAGTTTGTTTGTTCATTAACGTGCTAGGTAAAGTGACTACCGTTGCGCTCCTCCTGGAGCTTAAACACGGGTGGGGCCGGGCTGGATCAGGTTAACTACCATTAAGTACATCTACCTCATCCCACCTCAGACATCACCCATGTGTTGAATCTTGTCAAGCCCAACCGTCCAGATAACCCTCTTTTGACGTGCCAGAGCGCAAATTCCTCCTCAGCCTCGGCCACCACGCGCCCGAGCCCTTGACATCTTCGCCATCTGTAACTTTTCCCTTCCATTCATTCACAGCTTTGGCTCATCTTAGAATCTCCTCATCTCGTCCAGGAGTCGTTTTCTTCATTGGAGGCCTCATCCAGTCGCCCACCAAGGTCTCCTCAATTTGTATTCCCTTTTGTTTTTGTTCCTTCATGTAGTATCTCTGTATCCTTCAGCTGATCTCGTCATCCCAGAAACTTTGTAGAATTTCCACCCCCTCGGCCTTGCCCCGTCGCTGCCGTACTCCTAACCGTGGAGGTCGAAAACGCGACTGAGAGCCCAAGACCGAGGCACTGGTGCCCCAGCCTTTGTCGAACGCTCTACTTGATGTGTTTCACGGATCCGTAATTAGAATTTTGATACTAATATTAATTCGTGATAAGATGAAGGGGTAGTTTATTAAAAACAACAATTCAATAATAGCTTCCCCTATATAATTAGTCATGTAAAAAGTCGTATAAGGATATACAAGAGAGTCATGAAGAGAAGGACAAGAACAAAGCCATTAATGCAAAGATATTGGCAAGAATTAATTACGATTAATTACGGCTGGCAAATGCTTCTACTTTTGTATATAATAATTCAGCGTCAGAGAGATTTATTCCTCACGCAACGTCTTCTTCACTTACCCTTTATAATACATTTGTTTACCCATCTCTTCTTCGGGAAGACAACATATCCATTGCCCAGTTCTTCATCAGAAAGACCCACGTGTAACATCTACTGCAACTAGTTGCCCATTCATCTCTTCCTAGAGAAGATCTGTCATCCCTTTGACCCATTTATCATCCTCATTCACCACCTAGATCTTCACTAGACTATACAACGCACCCCGTGGGACACTCTCAAACCCTAATCCTTGAGAATGTGCCGGCGAATCGTCGAACGTATTTCCTCGGTGGCGATTAGTCGCAGGTCGAAATGTTGCTGCCCTTGGCCAAGGTGAGGACGCATTTAAGGCTAGTATTTCGACCGTACCTTCACAGAGACTGGCAGTTGCGGAGGGTCGGACATCTTCTTGTTTCTTTGATGGCAATCTGACTTTTGGAGGTATGGTATTGCTTCGGTTGGTGGTGAGATGATTGTGGAGAGGGCCGCGAGATAAGTTTGGCTGGGAATGATATTCCAGAGAAAAAGAAAATGGATCTTGAAGGTGTCGGTTGTTGTAATGCGAGCATCAGACAGGTTATAGCCTATCTGTGGTTCGTATCTGGAGTGTAAATAGTTGATTTCGTTGAGTTGTGTCACAATATGGAATAAATGCTAGATCGACCATGTCAGATGTGGTGAGTTAGATTGTTGTCAGGGGAAGGTCATGAAGTAGATTGACGAGGTCTAATCTGGTGATTGAGATTGTCTACAAAGAAGAAAGGTGACTCCTATTGAGTCCTGTAAAAATATATACATCGTGAATCGCGTATCAGACGCGTTATATCATGTGACAACAACTTCCCTCAATTCACTCTATCCCTTGACATATGGTCCCTTCTCACTCCGAATGTCTTAGATCTTGGGCGCAATTTTCGTTACGGATATCTTAGCTTGACTTTACGCTGCCTCAATCTCTCGCGGTGATGGCTTGAGTTTATGTGGGAAGCGCCGTTCAAATTCTTTGATGGATGATTTTGCATTTACAACGTTCTTGAGAGATTCCCATGTTTGGTTTTCTGAATCATAACCTCTCCACAATATCAAATACTGAAAATTCTTTCTATTCTTGCTACGCTTAGAATCTAAGATAGCTTCGATGGCATATAACTTTTCGCCTGACTCATCAGGGGCAATAGGTGGTGATGGGGGTTTGGTCTGGCCTGGTAAGGGGTTTGCAGGTGCCGGTCTGAGCAAACTTGTATGAAAAACATCATGCATATTTTTAAACTCGAAAGGAAGCTGTAATTTATATGCATGAGAATTAATAATTTTAATAACCTTGAAAGGTCCTATAAATTTACAATCTAGCTTCGAGATTGGTCGGGAAGTCGTAATATTGCGGGCATCTAGAAAAACTTCGTCACCAACTCGATAAGCTGGTGCTGGTGATCGGTTTGCACTAGATGCACTCTCTTGCCTATCTCTGGAGTGCGTAAGGTTTGCAAGCAGTATGTCGAGGACTTCTGCCATTTTAGAAGCGAAGTCAGTACCCGCTGATATTTGTTTCCTAAGACTTTTTGAAGAATTCCTCTCAACTGTTCGTGGAGGACTAAAACTCATACGTGGATGAAACCCTTTATTCGCAAAAAATGGAGTGACTTTGGTAGATGCGTTTACTGCATTATTCGCAGCGAATTCAGCCATTGGTAACCATTCGTAGACGTCCTCTTAAGAATAATCTATGTATTGTCTGAGATATTGTTCCATAAAGGCGTTGGCATTTTCTGTCTGTCCATCAGTCTCAGGATGGTAAGCTGTAGAAAGTGATAAATTGATCTGCAGACAACTACAAACCGCTTTCCAAAATTCTACAACAAAAAGCGGACCTTTGTCGGAGACTATAGAGTCACATAGTCCATGAAGTCGCCAAATATCACGGACAAAAAGTCTAGCTAGGTCCTTTGCATTCATCTTTGTATGGCAAGGTGAGTAATGTCGTTCTTTGGTAAGGCCATCTACCACAACCATGATGAAATTATAGTTATTAAATTCTGCTAAAGGACCGACGAAGTCTACTGATATATCACGCCAGCGCTGTAATGGAAGGGGAAGGGGTTTTAGAGCCCCTTGGTACTTGAGACGAGAGACTTTATTTCGGAGGCAGTTGTGACAGTTTTTTGCGAATTGATCAGTTTGCTTCGAGAGGTTGGGCCACCAGTAATGGTTAGAGACTTCTTGATACAATGCATTTTTTCCTGGATGACCTTTTTCACAGCTATCGTGAGCCATCTGAATGAGCATGGGCCTTAGTTCGTTATCTGGGACATAGATTCTATCACGATAATAAAGTCGGCCTCCCCGAAGCTCGCATTCAGAAAGTGAAATTTCTTTTGAATGTGGTATTCCTTCCGACTTGGTCAACTCGGCAACAATGTTTTTTAGCCATTGGTCTGTTTCATCTTGGTAGCCTTGGTCAAGTAGTCGGGAGATTTTTTGGTCAGAGTGTTCATCTTGAGGGTTAGAGAGGGAAACGGAAGAAAGGTGATGAAAGTTGGTCGTATTGGATGGAAGATTATATTTACTCTGCGCAAAATCTTCGATTATGGATTCATGAAGTTTATTAGCAGGTAGGAGAGTTTGCTTTTGGTGTTGAGTTCGAGGATCAGAGTCGTTTTTAGGGAGGTCTTGAGAGCGTCGTGTAAGTGAGTCAGCTTTAGCATTATCTTTTCCTGGTCTGGACTTAATGACGAAATCAAATTGTGATAAGAACTCGCTCCAACGAACTTGGCGGCGGGATAGCTCTTTTGTTGTCATGAAGTACTCAAGATTTCGATGATCAGTGAGGACGGTTATCGGATAGCATGAGCCTTGAAGCTCAGCTCGCCAACCTTCAAAGCAGCGTACAATGGCTAAAAGCTCCTTATCGTATATCTCATAGTTGCACTCCGCATTTTCGAACTTTTTTGACATAAAAGCAACCGGATGTAGCTCACCTTGATCATCTTTTTGAGAAAGAACACCAGCTGAAACGAAGTCCGAAGAGTCTGCTTCGACTATAATCTCTTTTGAGGCGTCGAAATGATGTAAAGCTGGTGCTGAGATAAAAGCTTTTTTGAGGAGTTCAAAAGCATTTTGGCAGGCATCAGACCAGACAAATTTGACATCCTTGCGGGTAAGAGAGACAAGGGGCCTCACAATCTTTGAGAAGTCTTTGATAAATATCCGATAAAATTTAGAAAATCCTAAAAAGCCTTGAACATCTTTCAAACAAGAGGGGGACTCCCAGTCACAAATACATTGAACTTTTTGGGGGTCCATTTTGACACCTGTTACAGAGATTATCATTCCAAGGTAGGTCACTTCTTGAACCTCAAATTCACACTTCTTGATATCACAATGTAATCCGGCTTTTCTAAGTGCCTCAAGTACAGTATTAACGTGGTCTCGATGCGTTAGAAGGTCGTCAGAATAAATCAAGATATCGTCGATATATGCAGTGCAGAAAACATCAAGGTATGGTCGCAAGACGTTGTTGATGTGAGCTTGAAAAGTGGCTGGTGCGTTTGATAAGCCAAACGGCATTACTAGTGTTTCGAACAGACCATATCGTGTGTTAAACGCTGTCATCCATTCCTGGCCCTCAGCGATTCGAATATGATTAAATGCCGCTATAATATCTAGCTTTGTGTAGTATTTGGCATTACTAAGTCTAGCAAGGGTTTCTTGTATTAAGGGGAGGGAATATCTATTTTTAATGGTTATAGCGTTTAATCCACAGTAATCAACACAAAATCTTAAACCACCTCCAGGTTTCTTGGCAAAGAGTACTAGTGCTGCTGCTGGTGACTTGCTAGTACAAATGAAACCTTTATCTAGCTGTTCATCAAGATATTTGCGTAGAACTTTCAGTTCATCGATAGACATATTATATAGAGGACCATGGGGGGGCACTGTGCCTGGCTTGAGATCAATTTTGTGGTCATAG